GTCAGCTGCCCACGTCAGCGCGGCCTCTCGTGAGGAGGCACAGCCCTCACGTGGGCACACAGGGTAAGAAGAGGCAGGGAAGGAAAGGGAGGGGCAGCCAGGTGGTGGGTGACGGGGACTATCTCCTCTGGGCTGACTCGGCTCGGCTGGGGCTGGAGGCCCAGCAGGACCGGAACAGCCAAGATAGCTAGCCTCACCATCGCGTGTCTGGCGCCTCCTTGCTCCTCCCTCCGCGCGTGTCGTCTCATCTTCCGGGTCCTTTCTTTCAGTAAGGTCATCAGACTTCCTGTGTGGTGGTTGACTTCCAGGAACGCAAAGCAAAGGCGGCCGGCTCTTACAGCTTTGGCCCAGCACTGGCACTGCGTTCTGTTAAGTAAACTGAGTCACAGGGCCAGCCCAGAGTCATGGTGACGGAGAACCGCACTAGGGCACCACGACCAGGCAGCACGGTTCACAGGGGGACTACCAGAGTCGGCCACAGTCACCCGGTCAGTACGTGTAGAGCCAGGTGCGGCCCCGGGTGTGTCTGGCCATGCATCGCATGCTCTAGACTCTTCCTAGGTAGCATCGGGGATTAGGAAGGGGGGGTGGGGCAGGATACGGATTCTGCAGTCATGATTGTCACGGTGCTCTGGATCTTGTAGCCCCCCTGGCACTGTGTCACCAGCATCTGTTCCCTTGAGCTCCTATTACGTGTTGGGCTCTTTATCTTCCCCATTTTTCTTTTTTTTAAGTTTATTTTTTTTATTTTTGAGAGAGAGGGTGTGCACGCGCAAGCAGGGGAGGGGCAGAGAGAGAGGGAGAGAGCATCTCACGCTGGCTCCGAGTGACAGCTGGGAACCCCACATGAGGCTCCCTCTCATGAGCTGTGAGATCATGACCTGAGCCAGAATCGAGAGTTGGACACTCAGCCAACTGTGCCCCCCAGGTGCCCCTACGCTTCTCATTTTTCATCCTTCTTCAAACCCCATCCGAGACTTTCTTTTCCTGCCAAATGGGAATGCCTGCAAGAGACTGCCCTTGCCCAGGGCTGCAGGAAGCACACCTACAGCTCCCAGTGGAGTCGACTTGAGTCAGTGCCAGTACGTTGCTTGACACTGACCGAAGGGCAGCTGACCTGGGTTCCTGGTGGGATATGCTGTGGCCGGGCATCCCTGTCGGACCAGCCTGAGGAGAGGTGAGGGAGGGGCGAGATGTACGCCCGAGACCTCCAGCCATTCCAGAGCCAAGCTGGCGGGGGCTTCTGTCTTCTGCCCCACGCAGGCCTGGGCTGTGTCAAGTGTGTGAGCTCAACCTCCGTGTCTGTCCTCTCTCCAGCAAATGGAAAGGATCCTGAAGAAAGCATCCAAAACCCACAAGCAGAGAGTGGAGGTAAGTCACGTGCCCAGGGGGAAAGACCCCAGGCTCTGTGGGGTCCTGGCTGGGCCCAGAGGTTAGGAGCCTGGCAGAGGGAGCCATTGGAGTGTTGGCTGGCGGGGGGGCGGGGGGGTTGCCCCAACAGAAGCGACGCCTCCCCGGGTCATGTAAGGATGAGGCCAGGGTTCAGGGCCGGGTGGCCTTGAGGGGAGGGGGCTCAGCAAGGAGAGGCAGGATGTGGAAAAGCAGGAGTGGGCAGTGTCTCGCAACCCTGGTGCCCTGCCCGAGACTCTGCTGATGTGGGTTTTCTCCTCGGCTTTCCCAGGATTTCAACAGACACCTGGACACCCTCACGGAGCACTATGACATTCCCAAAGTCAGCTGGACCAAGTAGCCTCCCCACTCAGGGTATGGAGTGGCACCAAGGGGAAATGGAAGGCGAAATCGGGGCTCTGTTTGGTGCCTTTGGTGTTTTCTAAGAACATTCTTTTACACACACCCTTGCGTCTTCTGCTGAGACAAGTGCTTTCCAAAGCAGTGTGTCCTCTTTCTGGAACTCGATTAAAGTAAGACTGTCCTTTTACTCTATTTTGGTTTCTCGGTAGAAGATCAGATTTTTTTAGTTCGGACTAGAGATTTTTAAAAGTCTATCCAGAGATTGAGGTTATTTCCGTGTGTCACAGACAAGGGTCTTTGCCCCCAAACTGCATCTAACTCGGACAGTCAGCCAGCCATCTTTTCTTGGATGAAACGGACTCCAGGGGATGAGGAGGTAATGCTAACACAGCCGGCAGCTTACAGACCCCGTGGGGCCCTACGTGAGCTCTCCTTCTGAGCCTCCTCCTGCTTGGGGCTTGTACTGTTTCTTCCAGAGCCTAGGGAAGCCACTTGTACTTTCTTGGCCTTCAGATGCCTCCTCAGCCCCCTGGTGTGTAAGACCACACAGCCTGGAAATAGAGCCACTGCCAAAGGCAAGGATGAAATGTACGCTTTGTCCCTGTCTGAGCTCCTGGCGGACTTACAGCCTCTTCCCCTAGTGCCCCCATTCCAGACGAGTTTAGAGGGTGTGGCCCTGGCAGACATCACTAATCAAACACAGCATTCTTTGTAATGGAACCCGGACACTGCCTGCCTCACTGCCCTCAACCCTAGGCTCTAAGCAGCCCCTGTGTTTATTCAGAGTGGCACATAACTTGTAGCCTGCTTGGCATTTCTGGCCTAAGGACATCTCAGGGGTGGCAGGACCTGGGCAGAGCCCTGGCATAGACAGTACAATACAGTCAAAGGGGAGGACCCACGTCCTGGTGCTGGAGAGCCGTGATCTCTTTTGAGGACCTACGTGTTCCTACCTGATGAGGATCAAACTGCATATACTATTGGGAGGAAGTCTCTGTTGACATAGGAGGTGAAAGAATAACAAAATCGTGTTGGGTTTGGGGCTGTCATATGGTGAAGAGAATAAAGCAAAAAATAGTTATTAAATAGAAGTCTGAGTGTTTTAATTATAAGCGGTTTGACTATCACTAGAAATGCTGCTTTTGGGATTTATTGCACATAAAGAATGTGCATGCTGCAAAATGACCATTCACCCTCGCTTTGGAAAAAAGTATATGACCTGTTTTTTTCACCTGTGGTATATAGCCCCCCACCCCCCCGAGAGGTAGTAGACTCTCGTTAGCAGTGGCTCTTTTGGGTAGGTTCCCCCATTGCCTCACAGAAAGGCACTTTGAGGCCTTTTCCATCCCTGAGCCAGCAGTTGGGGTTTGTGAGCATGATGTGCTGTGAAAAGCACGTGTCAGGATGGTGGAATATAGATATTCCACCTCCCTGCCTACCCAGTCTAAAGCTGAGTGACCTCAAATGGCAGGATTTCTCTTCTGTGGATTGACTGCTCGTTTGGACGGTTCTGTGCCATGTGGTGTGGTTCACTTGTGTAGCTACATTGACTTGCCTGGGGCCAGAAAGTCCAAGGTGGCATCTCATCCTCCAGAACCTTTCTCTGTGTTGTTTATTCCTTTGGCCAACACAAGTCACATTGCCAAACCCAATCTGGGAGAGAACTCTGGGCATGGACACCAGGAGATGTGGTTTATTGGGGGCCATCACTGCTAGTCTAGCACAGTTTCTCAAGCTCTTCTGGATGTTAGACTCTCCCGGAGCATTAAGAACCACTGATGCTGGCTGGGGTGGTTCAGTCACTGAGAATTTTCAGAGCTCCTCAGATGATCCTAATGGGCAGGAAAGTCTGAGAAACCCTGACCTACCACAATGGGTATGATCTTTTTTTGAGATGGTGCAGAGGTCAAATCTGGCTTACACATTAAATGTAAATACCAAGGATGAAATTCAGATAGGACCTGACTTCCCCCACGTATGGAAAAAGGAAGTTATGAGTAACTTAGGTGTAGGATGGTACTCTTTGTACCTGAGAGTTTGTTTTTTCAGAAGGCTTTTGTCCAGTCTGTTCCTCCCAGTCCCCCACAATACTGATTTTAAACATCTAAACAAAATGCCCAGAGCAAGCCTGAAAGGAAATGCTCCATGATAAGAGGGGTCACCTCTCCTGGGCGATTTTAATTTTTGTCTTTCTTTTTGGGTGCAGTATGAGGCTAGGGTGTTTTACGAGACAATTGTCAAAAACCCTCTCCTGGCCATTTTGTGCAAGAATGCTTCCAGCCCAGGATTTACGTAGTAGTCATTAAATATTCCAGTTTTCTCCTCTGGATTTTCTTGCACTTTATCCTAAGCAGAGGATATGTTGGCAAAAGCCATCTTTCAAAACCCCAAAGGAGGTAGGAGGGAAGATTAAAAATCAGGCAGGCAGCCTGAGTAAATGGTTCTGATACTGCAGGGTTGGGATTCCCAGAGCAAGTGATGGATGGTTCCGTAGGACAAAATGCAGGCATTTTGCCACAGCCTGAGTGTTCATAAAAGTGATGAGATACTCAATTGATTAATCAGGGGTCACAGTTTGCATCACCCACTGCGGTCACTAACTACAGAAATGAAATATGTGCTTTTCACCTAGGTTCGGTGGGGCGTGGTTTTCAGATCATTCCAGGCAATAAACAAGCTCTGATGAGTGTTGACACTGACAGGTGACAGGTCGTGACCCTTGGTAAGACTTGATTGCTATTCAGAGTTTGTTTGACCTCTTTTCAAGGTAACAACCACCTTACCCTCCCCCTATAAAGCATATTACAGTTGGTAACTGTATTTGTTTCCTAGACTACCCCACCAGGCTAGGAGTTTCATGGGGCTGGGCCCCAGGTGGGGTTCCACCGACGGTATGTCACCTAACTTGGCCAACGAAGGCGGGGCGGGGTTTCCAGCTGCCCTGGCTTGTCTCCCAGCCTGGCAGCCAGAGAGGGCCTCGTTTCAATCAGCCCCGCCTGGCGCCGCCCAGGCCCGCCCCTCTGGGCCTTACTTCCGGGATGCTTGAGGCCGGAGCGGGAATTAAGGGCACATCGGACGTACCGCGCCTGCGCGTACCCGCCTCGCGCCTGCGCCTTCCTGGCAGCCCCTCCCCGGCCGGACATAACGGTTCGCGCGCGGCTTCCCGGGCCGGAAGTGGAGGCGAACTGTCGCGGGGCACGCCCGGCCTTGCTCAACGCCCGGCAGTCCCCGCCGTCGCCGTCGCCGCCGCCCTCGGCAGTTGCCGAGGCTTCCCGCAGCCGTCATGTCCGCCAGCGCCGTCTACGTGCTGGACCTAAAGGGCAAGGTACAGATGGCTCCGCACCCTCCCCGTTGCCAGGCAACCGGCGGGGCCTCGCCCCTGGGTGGGGGGTGGGGGGGTGAGACCTATCCTGTTGCTTGGTAACCGGCCAATGGGACCCACCCTAGTCTTAGGCAGGGAGGCCTGTAGACCTCACCTGAGGCCCCCCTGTTGCTAGGGTACAAGGCGGGGGCTTCGATCCACGAGCCCCGCCCTGTTGCTAGGTAACGCAGCTGCACTGACACCCCCCCCCCCCCCCCCCCATAGGCCGGGTTCTCAAGCCTCCGTGGGGGCATCCGGGAACCCGAGGCGGCGGGGAGAGTGGCCCGCATCAGGCTTCGAAGCCAGGACTGGCTCTCAGGTGCCGTGCGACCCTTGGCCCAAGGTGGTGAGGCGTGTCGGGGACAGTGTGCCCTCGGGCCAGCCCTGCCCCCTGTTTATCCTTCGACTTTTCTTTGCCAGTCCCTGTAAAAATTTCTTAACGTTCAGTGTGACACCGAGTTACGAGGGTTGAGTGAAGTGGGTGATGGGAGGGTCATTTTACAGAGGGAGAAACTGAGGCACACAGGTGTGCAACTTGCCCCAGGTCACACCAGTTACAGAGTGGCAGGTCTAGGAGTCGGCTGGTATTTGGGGGGCACCTGCCAAGTGCCATACAGGGTGTTTAGGCTTGGGCTGCTTTTGGTGAGCAAAATCGGAGTTGTCCTTGTCCTTCTGGAGCTCACAGTCTGGTGGGAGAAAGGGACACTGATCTCACAAAGTACAAATCAATGTTGGGTGCAGTGATGAAGCAGTGAGGATGTAATAGGACACTGTGCCGGGCTGGGGGTCAGGGAGGGCTTCCAGGAAGGAGGGACAAATCTGGCTGAGACCTGAAGGAAGAGGTGGGCAATTTAATTAGGACCCAAGTGCCATTCCCAGGGGAATCTGGGAAAGCCTCTTAGAGGAGGGATCTCCAAGCCTTTCACAGTGGGCTGCTGCTTTTTCCCCCGGTCCGTCCAGTCTGGAAGGCAAGTGAGTATTGGGCTCTTGTATCTGGGAGTTACAGGAACAGTACAATGTTAACCAAGCCCCGCGTGGATCACCGAGAGAGAGAGAGAGAGAGGGGTGGGTGTCAGGCCTTGGTGGGGCAGGCAAGAGTTAGCTCAGAAGCCGTGGGGAGTGAAGAGGTGAAGTGGCTATCCCTTCCTGCTCCCCTCCCGGAGTCCCTGGCTCTAGAACTTTCCAGGAGTCCCTTGAGTGGGTTGCCTGCCCTGGATGCCACCCAAAGTCAACAGCTAGTGAGGCCCGGTGCTGGGCTCCCTTCCTCAGGCCTCAGGCAAGGGATCAGTCACAGGGCACACCAGGGGCTGGGTGGGTGCAGCGTTCCCAGAGCCCTTGTGGCACGTGTTCTTGCTCCCGTCCTGGCCACTGGGTCCCCAGAGTTCCCAGAGGCTGCCTCATCTCAGATCACTCATTCAGCAAACATTTCCCGAGCACCTAGCATGCCACCAAGCCCAGTGCTGCCTATCTCACCATGACTGTGGAGTTCAAAACTCATGGCTGAGTTCAAAACCCACCTCTGCTGCTCAGCTGTGTAACCCCAGGCAAAGTAACTTCTCTCTGCGCCTTGTTTCCATCATTGCTCACCCGAGGCTTTTATGGTGTTGTTGTGCGAGCTCTCTGAGCAGACGCTTAAGACAGGCTCAGCACCCCCCATGGCCCACAGTCTTGCTTAACCCCATCGAGGGCCTTGAGGTGGGGAGACACATGGAAGCTGATGGATCCAGGTGGTCAGATCTAGGTAGCTGCAAGGGCATGGACAAGGCCCTAGGTAATGTGGTTGCCAACCTCGATTTTGGCTGCAGAAGTAGTTACAGAAGGCCACCTGGAGGAGGGAGGTGCCATAGGACCAGGTGACAGTCAGCTGGACAAGGAGTCACCGCAGTAGGCCTGAAGAGTCGGGGGCAGCCTGCTGGGGCTGGCGGGCCAGCAGCCCTGGGGAATGCTGGAGCCTGGAGGGTGGCACCGGTGTGGCCGTGGGTGGTCGAGGATGTCCAGATGGGCGTGAGGAGCAGAGGGGACTGCTCTGATCCCAGGAAGGAGGAGCCACTGGAGGAGATTGAAGCCTCGGAGGAGCGTGATCAGACCTGCCTTTTGGGAAGCTCCCAGGGCAGCCGCGGGCTTGCCTCCCGCTCTCAGCAGCCATTGTGCCATTTGTTACTCCATGCCCTTGGACCTCAGGTCTTGAAAGGACCTTTTGTGCGGACCGTTTTTAGCAAAAAATAAGGTAAGGCACATTAGGAAATTCACGACAACACGTCTGTCTGCCAGCCGCCCGGAACCTCTGAGCGCAAGGAAACCAGCATGGCCACATTTGGCTGCTAGAAGGCCGTCCGTGGACGCTTCTTGGCCCTTATCTTTCTTGTTTCTCTGCAGTGTCTGACATCACAACCACACTCCTCAGCGGGCGTCCATTGGCCTCTGAGTTGCCGCTCTCTCTCGTTTTGCCCATTTCTGTCGAGTCTCCTGGACCCTCCCCTTGGATGTCGGCCCCTCCTGCTCGGGCCTGGGCGGCCCCCTGACACTGCCCCTCTCTTCGGGTCTGCTTTGATTCTCGCCAGTGTGCCAGTGACTCGATGTGTGCCGCATCCCAGAGGACTGCTCTAGAGATGCATTGTTCTCTGGGACACCTCGGAGGTCCTACAGCTGCCACAAACCTGGCCTTTGCCCTGAACTCTCTCCCCAGACCTGCTCTCTCTCACCTGCTCTCTCTCCACCGCAGACCTGCTCTCTCCCACCTCATTGAGCGACACCACCATCCATGCGACTGTCCTCATTGGAGACCTGGGCATTATCCTGGCCTCCGTCCTCTCCTCACCTTTGTGTTCACTCCACGGACATTTCCTGAGCACCCACTGGGGTCAGGGTCTGTTGTGGGCTCTGGGACACAGCCGTGAATGAGATGGAAGTGGTCACTGTTCTCAGGGAGTGTTAGACTCTGGTGGAAGGGACAGACCATAAAGGAGGATAGGGGTTATAGTGCAGCAGTGTAGTGGGCAGTGAAGGAAAAGTGGACAGGTTATGACCTTTCAGGCAGGGCAAGCAGGGAAGACTTCTTGGAGGAGGTGCCATCTTTGGTGAGGCTTGAGAAATTAGAAGAGGCCCAGGCATCCTGGACAGAGAGAACTGCAAGTGCAAAGGCCTCGAGGCAGGAGTAGATGTGGATGGCTCAGAGAGCAGCTGGGGGACCAGGATGGCCGGAATGGAGTGAGCTGGGGTGGGGGCAGAGGGGTGAGATGGACAGAGCAGCCGTGGGGATAGAGGTTTGTCACCTCAGCATTGCCTGTCTCCCTTCAACCTGTCCTCTGCTCTCTCACCTGGGGCCTGCGGCCCAGGCTCCAAGACCGTCCTCACGCCCCGCCGACCAGTGCTCCAAGGTCTCCCCCTGGACTGCACCCCTGTTCTGTCCCGCGGCTTCAGCCACCGCCATCCCTCTGCCTGTGTAGTACCTGTCCCTTCAGGCCTCAGTGTGAAGGTCACACCCTTGGGAGGCTCTCAGCTTCTCCTAAGTTGGCGTCCCAGTTCAGAGACCCTGTTTGTTTTGGTCACCTCTGGTCCCCAGGCCCAGCATGGTGTGCGGCAGAGGGGCCCGTGGTGTGTGCTGGGTGGGTGAGTGGACCTCTCTGGAGCCCTGGACACGAAGGCAAGCAAAACAAATGCTTCCTCTTTCTTTTGAGCACTAGGGGCCTTGAGGCTCCCTGCCAGCGGCAGTCCCCAAAGTCATATACCTGAGAAGGAAGGTGGGGCCTTGGGAAGCCCAGGAAAGCAGTGTTAGGGAGCAGAAGGGGCCGTGCGGGGGGTGAGAACTGGTTAGGATCTGGACTCAGCTTTGCTGGCTGTGACCTCAGGCGGCTGGTGCCAGAGTTCTAGGCATCACTGGGCATCTCTGTAAAAATAGTGGCCCCACCTCATGGCCGGTCAGTATAGATTCTGGGCAAGGAGCACAGGAGAGGGGACATGGGAGTCCCTCAGTCCGGGCCTGGCTGTCCCACTGGGTGCCTAAGAGGCCCTAAGCGGCCTTGTGAACCTCAGCAGGAAAAGGGCACGGACCACGAAAGAGAAGCCAGGAAGGAGGTTCTCGTTTTGATTCTCTCCTTCTCTCCTGGCTTGAAATGATGATGACCATGGATTTTACAAAAGCCCAGGTTGTGACGCAGGCGGCTCCCAGCTTGGTCAGCTCAGCAAGGCCGACCTCTGCACGCACGTAGCCGGGCCCTGCAGCTGCTGCCCACATGAGCTCACGAGAGCGGCGGCAGCTGTAGGTGGCGTCTCCAGATGGAGCCTTGCTCAGCCTGGCGGAGCTTCAGGCTGCCTCCTTGTTCCTTCAGGGAGGCGTGATGGACGCGTACCCAGCTGCGTTTATTCCAGCGCACAGCGTGGTGTGTTCGGTCATTGTATATACCCAGGAAGCCAGAAGCACACACCCTGTCACCCCCTAAAGCTTCCTCACGCCCCTTGTGTCCAGCCTGTTCCCGGAAAGCCACCGGTTTTCTGTCACCGTCGGTGAGGGTTTTATGTAAGTGGGTTTTATGTGGGACAGGATATGGGACTTGCCGTCTGTTGTCTGGTGGCTCACCTGGCCCAGGGGTCTTGATAGACCCTCATGCTGTGGCTCGAGTCAGTGGTCTTTCCTTCTTGTGGCTGAGTTGCGTTCCAGGATGGACACAGTTCTTGTTTCTGGTCGCCTGTTGAAGGACATTGGTGCTCACTCTAGTCTGGATCCGTCGATCGATCTGTTTATCTATTTATAAAGTTTATTTAATTATTTGGAGAGAGAGAGAGTGTGCGTGTGCATGAGCTGGGAAGGGGCAGAGAGAGAGGGAGACGGAGAAGATCCCAAGCAGGCTCAGCGTTGTCAGCACAGAGCCCAACGAGGGGCTCGAGCTCACTAACCATAAGATTATGACTTGAGCCAAAATCAAGAGCTGGACACTCAACTGACCGAGCCACCCAGGCGCCCCCAGTCTCTGGGTCTATTTAAAATAAAGCCGCAGCGAACGTTTGTGTGCGAGTCTTGGCCACAGGTGGCTTTTAGTGGATGTGAACACTCAGCAGTGTCCCCTGATTGGGTACCCTGACACAGGCAGAAGAGCAGAGTGCATTAGCGTAGGAAAGGCTCTGAGAAGGTCTGCAGTGAGAACCTACAGGATGTTGTTTTCACCTGGCATCTCCCAGTTGACTGAGTTCTGGACTGCGACCTCGTATTGCTTTCCCCCGCGAGGAACCCAGTTGGCCCCTGTGGAGTTCACGCTGGGAAATGCGCTCCTTGAGGGATTCCCTGGGGGATAGAGGTCAGCGCGGCCTGGAGTCTCTGATGGCCAGGGGTGTGAGTGGGGTCCTTGCGGCAAGGGAGGTTGGCGCGTCTCACGCCCCACCGCACGCATCTGGCTGTGGGCCTCCAGATGGAAGCAGCCTCACCCCCCACCCCCGCCTAGGTGCTCATCTGCCGGAACTACCGTGGCGACGTGGACATGTCCGAGGTGGAGCACTTCATGCCCATCCTGATGGAGAAGGAGGAGGAAGGGATGCTGTCACCCATCCTGGCCCACGGGGGAGTCCGCTTCATGTGGATCAAGCACAACAATCTGTATCGTATCCCTTTGCGGGGGAGCTCCCGGGGGCCTCCTGCGTGAGTGTGTGCGTGTGCGCGTGTGTGGGCCCGCAGGCAACCGAGAGTGGCCGGCACCTGGCCCGGGGCTGGCTCGGGCACAGCAAGGGCCGTCGGGCACACCCTCCCGGAGCTCCCTGCGGCCTGAAGAGATGAGCGGAGAACACGGTGGCAAGTGTGACGGGAGCTGGGCGAGGAGAGGGTGTGGCAGGGGACCTCATCTAGTCTGGGGACCCAGGAAGGCTTCCCTGAGGAGGTGACATCCAGAGGAGCCCTGCAGGAAGGCCAGGTGTCCACCATCCAGAGCAGTGGGCAGACGCCAGGAGCGATAGACTCCAGAGGCTCTGCAGAAGGAACAGGCTCATTCTGGAAGCTGCAGGAGGGGTGGCGAGAACACCGGGAAGGGGTATGTGGTGGGAGCGGGCCCAAGTGGTCAGCAACGCTGTGGGGTCTCGAGGGACGTCACCGTAGATGTGATGGGAAGCCTTCCGGGGGTTTTAGGGGGTAGGGGGTGGGGTGACACAAAATCAGATTTGCATTTTCTGAAGGTTTCTGGCCGCTGAGCAGAGGCCAAGCTGCAGGGAAGCCGGAGTGGATGTGGGGAGGGGGAGGGGGCCAGAAAGCCCCGGTCGGACTGCAGTGGAGGTGCAGGACCTGCTACCATCCTGTCTGGGTCCCTGAGGTGCAGCTCCTGCCCCGCCTCTGTTTCTCCCTCACCTCTCTGGAGGGCCCGGGGGGCTGCTCGCAGAGTACTCAGAGAGAGTACTGCAGGTGGCTTGGAACCCGGAAGCTGGACGACGGTGAAGGCGCCTGGGTCTGGGCGGGGGGGTGAGCCCAGTGGGAGCCGTCAGACCAGTTTCCGGTTGGGCCCTGGCTCCACGTGTGGGCAGCGGGGAGGACACAGCAGTGGCTCACCCCTCCAGGTGCCGCTGCCCGGCGCCCCCAGCGCCCCCGGCCTGTCGCTAGTTCTGCTGTCCTGTGACGGTCTCCGGCCGGCCCAGCCTTGCAGTGCCCACTGGTCCTCCTTAGCACCCGAAGGCATGCGACCCGGGCTGGAGGCCCAGCACCTGATACGTGGGTCCCGGCTCCTGGCAGGAAGTGAGGTGGACGTGGCCCCTGCTGTCCCTGTCACCTGCAGCTCCCAGCTCAGCCCTGGGGCCGGGCGGCCCAGGCGTGTCATGAACAGCCACGGCCAGGGCGCAGCCCCTGTGCCTGCGGGGGAGGAACCGGCCTCCCCGGGGGGCTCGAGGCCCTTGAGGGAAAGAGCAGGGAGTGTCCAGGACATGCTGCCCCGTGATGACGTCGGAGGGGCGTCTGTGCCACGCACTTTGCACGCGTTGCCTCAGCGACTCTGCTGCCGGGCGCCCATCAAGCAAGTGAGAAAATGGGGCTCCGTTAAAAAGCTTTGCTTTAGGGGCCAAGGCTTGCAGGAAGGGCCAGACCCAGCATCGGCCCCGGCTGCCTCCTCTGGAGCCTGCAGTCCTGCCTTCTGCTCCCGGAATGAGCCGCACGCTGCCTGCCCACCCTGGGCTAGAGCTCTCAGCGCAGATATCACCTCCTCGGGGCAGCCCCCACCCCGCCCCAGCAGCTGGGGCGGGCTCTCGGTGCCCCCTGCTGCCTCTCTGTCATCGAGCGCTTCCTGGGGTTTGGGACCGTGTCTGGCGACTACCTGTCCCGGGCCTGGCTCCGACCCAGTAGCCCACTGAAGGCCTGGTGAATGGCCGGGGGTTGGGTGGAGGGAGGTTCTGAGCCGGGGGTGGGGGTGGGGGTGGGGGTCCTTCCGAGACGCGGGGTGAGTCGGGGTCTGTGAGGCAGCAGTCTGGGCCTCTGAACTCTCCTTAACCGTGGCCGCCATGCAGTGGTTGCTACCTCCAAGAAGAACGCATGTGTGTCGCTGGTGTTCTCCTTCCTTTATAAGGTGGTGCAGGTGAGTTGACCCAGGGAGGGGTGTCAGTCGCCCTGGCTTTGCTGTGTGCTCGAGGGCTGGAGCGCTCCTGGGGAGTTCCGGCGCTGGAACCCCAGGGAATGGGAAGGGGAGCTCCAGCTGCCCTGTGTGTGGGACTTCATGGCCTTAGTGTCCCTCTGCCCTGACGAGGGGAGGAAAGTGAGCAGGAGGTGGAGCTCAGGGCAGGTCGGTGCGCCCGGGCCTCAGGAGGGACAGGTACGCCCCACAGCTGGCTGTGGGAGGGTGGAGGGTGGCCCGCTGAGAGGCCGAGTTTAGGGAGGTAGGCTAGCCGGGAGGAGGGCAAAGCAGCCAGTTCTGCGCAGAGGTGGGGAGGCGCGAGAGCAGCACAGGCAGAGGCCCTGGGGCCACAGTGCGTGTGGTCCGGTCGGGAGCATCGGGCTGGCCAGTGTGCCTGGGGCCCGTGGGGGGCTGCGATCAGCAAGGTGTGGGTGGGGCTGGGCTGCAGGGTTGGGGGCAAACAGGACTTAGTGAGGAGTTTTGATGTCGTTCCTGACGAGAGATGGCGGGCGACTTTAAGCGGGGGACTGATGAGACCTGATTGGAGTTGAGATCGGCTCCGTGGCTGCTAAGTGGAGGAAAACTTGAAGGCAACAAGGAGGCCAGCGAGGAGGTTGCTGCAGGCTTCCAGAGCAGAAATGGAGGGACCGGGCCGGGGCAGGAGCCGTGGGGTTGAGGGAAGTGGAGAATCGGACCTGGGAGGCCTGCGGTGAGCCCTCAGGTGGTGCACGTGCAGCTAGCTCAGGAGTCACTGGTGCTGAACACGGGGGGACTGGTCTGGGCCGTGGAGACATGGGGGCGGGAGAGTATGTGTCCCCCTGGGAAGCCCTGAGTGCAGGCTGAGGAGTAGGCTTTCGTGCCAGGGCGGTGGCCCTGTCGCAGGAGTAAAGAGGGGCACCGGAGGTCCGAGAGGGTGGTCCGAGAGGTCCGAACGTTCTCCTTCCTGCCGTGTCTGGCATTTCCTGTGACTTTCCTTCGGTGCGGGTGCTAACGAAACTTTTCTCCCTTCCCTTGTTCAGTCGACTTAATTTTCTGTTGAACTGGGGGACATGTGTCCGTGGCCCAGGGGGCTCGGAAGAGTCCGGAAGAGCCACTGGTTCTGTCTCCAGTGGCTCTTGCCCCTCATCTGAGTCACTTGTAGCTCAGAGGCAAAGGGTGACTGTTCACAGCAGGGATTGAAGAGAAGCTCAGATGGGGCCCTAGCCAGACTGGGGGTGACAGGGAGGAGAGGAGAGAGGGACCCTCGGGAGTGGAGATGCAGGGCTTCTGACCAGGCCCCCGGAGGACGCCCGCACTGCCTGCAGCCCGCGACTTGCCTCACGGGCAGCCGTCGCTGTCCTGTCGCGGCCCCTGAGTCTGAGGTCGTGTCTCTGTGGCATGTCGCCAAGCCTGGAACGTGGGTAGATGCAGCTTGTGGGCAAGAGGGCTGTTGGTTCTGGGCCCTGGGGCATGAAGGACAAGTGGGTTTGTGCGGGCGGTCCCCCTCCCGCGTCTCAGCCCCCCCGCCGCCCCCGCCCAGGTGTTTTCAGAGTACTTCAAGGAGCTGGAGGAGGAGAGCATCCGTGACAACTTTGTCATCATCTACGAGCTGCTGGATGAGCTCATGGACTTCGGCTACCCCCAGACCACCGACAGCAAGATCCTGCAGGAGTGAGTGGGTGCGGTGGGGACCCAGGCTTGGGGCTGGGGGAAGCGAGCGTGCCTTCACGCCTGTGCCGCCACCCGTCTCCTCGCGTTTGTGGTTTCTGTTGGGCGGTTTTGGATTCTTGGCCGCTCCGCGTCCCTGCGCAACGGGAGCATCGTTCAGGGCGGTGCCCTGGATGCCTGGTTATCAGGGAGTCACCGCCTTTGTTTCCGCTCACGTCACTGAGGCTGAGAGGGAAACGCGCCCTTCTTCGCCATCCTGCCCTTCACACCGGGGCACACGGATCAAGCACTTTCTGTGAGCCCGGCCCCCTTTTCTCCGCTCTCCGTCAGAGGCACCGCTCCCCGCTCCCCGTTTACACGGGGCAAGGGTTACTCAGAGAGCTGGCCCGCGTCTGCATCTCCCGCGTTGTTCCCCGGGGGGTCGGGGTCGCCAGCTCCCCTCCAGGGACTCAGTCCCCTGTGCACGTGGCCGTGGCACCTGGCGCACATTCCCTGTGGTCCCGCCCGTGCCGGCTCCTTGCCCCTCCCCCACCCCGGCCTAAGTGAGCGCTCTGTGCTCATGGTCACTTGAGTTTTTGGGGGCTTTTTGGAAATCCTGACGTTCTTGTGTTAAACGGCCCAGGTGAAACTGGAGCCTGCCACCGGGAGGGGCTGTTTTCGGAATGTCCGTGCCTGAGCTCCTCAACTCTGGGCCTGGTCCCACAGGTACATCACCCAGGAAGGCCACAAGCTGGAGACGGGGGCCCCGAGGCCCCCAGCCACCGTCACCAACGCGGTGTCCTGGCGGTCTGAGGGCATCAAGTACCGGAAGAACGAGGTGTTCTTGGACGTCATCGAGTCCGTCAACCTCTTGGTAGGGCTTCCTCTCCTTTCTTTTCCTCTGGTGGAAAAATGTTGTCTTCTGCACGATTGACGTGAGAACAGGCAGACTTTGAACAGCAGCGGAGCCCTGGGAAGCCGTTACTTTCCGCAGCAGTCAGGCCGCGGTGCAGCTGGCGCTCGTTCAGGCTTCCTCAGCTTCTGTTCTTGTTGGGGGTCCGCGCAGGGGCCTTGTGGGCGTTGCTGTGTGAAGCAGGGGGGAGGTTGGAAAGCGCAGGGATCCGTATTCAGAAAGACCGCCTCACTCACGATCCACTGTCCTTTTGGGCCTCACGCTGTAAATTCACAAACGCACGCGGTCCTCCCGTCGCACCGAGAGCTGTCGCGGCTCTCCTGCAGCTGCTTTTCTTAGGTTTCTTTTCTGTTTGTGCGTGTTTGCTTTTTCCTGTGGTTTTATTTTTTAAGTTCTCACTAAGTCAGATTGACCTTTTTTCCTATTAGTTTTAGGCCACATAGAGATTCTCGTTCCCCTTTGCCGTGATCAGGATACGAGTCGCCTCTAAAACCTCTCTCCTGCCGCCTCTCCACCCCCTGGCAGCCGCTGCTCCGGTCGCGTGGCGCGTCGCTAGCCAGTAGGCCCCGTGCTCCACGCCGCCTCTCTGCCAGCCCGGGGCCTGGGCCCGGGGGTCCTGCTCCTGACTGGCGTCGGAGCGCCACATCCCCGTGCCCGTGTCGTTCACCTTCACCTCCTGCCGTGGGCGTTTTGCGTCTCGCCTGTCACAGGAAGGGCGGGTACAGGCATTAGAGAGAGAGCACGAGTGGCGCAGTCACGTGCCTGGCACTACAGTGTGTGGTTACAACTGTCCCACTTGATCTCTGTTGCTCTTCTCTTACTGTGTGTAACCTGCGTATTAACCTGTGTTACAGGTGTATACGTTTAGGAGAAGACATAGCACGTGATGAGGGTTCCCAGGCAGCCACTGGGGGTCCTGGACCGTCTCTCCTGCAGACAAGGGGGACTCCTCTAGTGTTGTCTTGTTGAGGTTGTCATATGCGTGGAATCCCACAGTATGTGACCTTTTCGGTCTGGCTTCTTCCACTAAGCATAATGTCTTTGAGACTTCTCCAAGTTGCTGTGTTTATCAAGAGCTTGTTTCTTCTTCTTCTTCTTCTTTTTTTTAACGTTTATTTATCATTGAGAGACAGAGAGACACAGAGCGTGAGCAGGGGAGGGGCAGAGAGAGGGGGAGACACAGAATCCAAAGCAGGCCCCAGGCTCCAAGCTGTGAGCACAGAGCCCGACGCGGGGCTCGAACTCACAAACCGCGGGATCATGACCTGAGCCGATGTCAGACGCTTAACCAACTGAGCCACCCAGGCACGCCCCGCCTGTTTCTTCTTATATCCATTTGTATTTATTTTATTTTTGGAACCACACCGTGTTTATCCATTCACCTCTTGAAAGACTTTTGGGTTGTTTCCAGTGTTGGGCTATTGTGAGTGCAGTTGCTATAAACATTTCGTGTGCAGGTTTATGTGTAAACGGAAGTTTTTCTTTCTCGAGGGCAAATACCCAGAGTGGGATCGCCGAGTCACATGGTAAGCGTACATTTAACTTTATAAGAAACCGCCAGACCGTCTTCCAGACTGGCTGCTCCACTTTTGCCTTTTCACCAGCAGTGGATGAGAGTTCTGGTGGTTCCATATCCTCGAGCACTGTTTTGGTTTTCTGCATCTTTTTTTTTTTTTTTCAACATGTATTTATTTTTGGGACAGAGAGAGACAGAGCATGAACGGGGGAGGGTCAGAGAGAGAGAGGGAGACACAGAATCGGAAACAGGCTCCAGGCTCCGAGCCATCAGCCCAGAGCCTGACGCGGGGCTCAAACTCACGGACCGCGAGATCGTGACCTGGCTGAAGTCGGACGCTCAACCGACTGCGCCACCCAGGCACCCCGATTTTCTGCATCTTAATAGATGTATTGTGCTAACTCATTGTAGGTATAATTTGCAATTTCCCGATGGCTGATGATGTTAAATGCGTCTCTGTGTGCTGCTTTGTCATCTGTATTTCATCTTTGGACAAGTGTCTTTTCATGTCTTGTGAGCATTTTTATTTTAAATTTTTTTTTTCAATGTTTTTTATTTATTTTTGGGACAGAGAGAGACAGAGCATGAACGGGGGAGGGGCAGAGAGAGGGAGACACAGAATCGGAAACAGGCTCCAGGCTCCAAGCCATCAGCCCAGAGCCTGACGCGGGGCTCAAACTCACGGACCGCGAGATCGTGACCTGGCTGAAGTCGGACGCTCAACCGACTGCGCCACCCAGGCGCCCCTTGTGAGCATTTTTAAATTGGGTTGTTTCTTTTCTGATTGTTGCATTTTGAAAGTTCCTTATGTATCCTGGATAGAAGTCTCTTGTCAGATACTGATTGTTGCATTTTGAAAGTTCTTTATGTATCCTGGATAGAAGTCTCTTGTCAGATACGTGATTTGCAGGTATTTTCTCCCAGGCCGTCACTTGTCTTTTCATTCTTTTGGTACAGTGTCTTTCACAGGACAAAAGTTTTTAATTTTGAGAAAATCTAATTACCGATCTTTTTGTGCGTGTGCTTTGGGTGCCACGCTGCCGAACCCAGGGTCATGTAGGTTTTCTCCTAAATTGTCTTCTAAAAGTTTTCTGGTTTTACATTTAGGTCCATGACCAACTTTGAGTTACGTTTTATCTAAGCTATGAGGTTTGTGTCCATTGTGTGGATGTAGAGCAGTGTTCTGCAATTGTTCCAACATCATTTTTTGAAAAACTACCCCTTTCTCCGTTAAACTGCCATTGTGTTTTTGTCAAAAATCAGTTGGCCGTATTTGTGTGAGTCTGCATTCATCTGTAGTATCTATTCATTCACCAACACTGCACTGTCATTGACAACTGTAACTTTATTAATCTGAAAAGCAGGTAATGAGATCCTTCCAGCGTTCTTCTTTTTTCAAAATTGTTTTAGCTATTTAGTTCCTTTGCATAAAATATTAGCATCAGGAGGCATCTGGGTGGCTCAGTCAGTTGAGTGTCCGACTTTCAATTTTAGCTCAGGTCATGATCTCATGGTTGTGGGATTGAGCCCCACATGGGGCTCTGCACTGACGGCTCGGAGCCTGCTTGGGATTCTCTCTCTCCCTCCCTCTCTGCCCCTCTCCTGCTTGTACGCATGCACGCTCTGTCTCTTTCAAAATAAATACATATATTTTTAAAAAGTTTAAAATGTTAGCATCAGCTTGTCTGTGTCTACAAAAAAAATCCTGCTGGATTTTGATTGGGATTTTATTAAATAACTATTAAATAATCAGCATGGGGAGTGCCTGAGTGGCTCAGTTGGTTAAGCATCCGACTTCAGCTCAGGTCATGATCTCGCAGTCCGTGAGTTCAACCCCTGATTCAGGCCCTGTGTTGACAGCTCAGAGTCTGAGCCTGCTTCGATTCTGTATCTCTCTCTCTCTGCCCCTCCCTGCTCGCACTCTCTCCTCTCTTCCACAAATAAACATTAAAAAAATTTTTTTAATAAATAATCAGTGTGGAAGAGAATTGGTATCATTAGTATATTAAGTCTCACAACCCACAAATGCTGTATGTCTTTCTAGTTAGGTCATCTTTTTAATTTTTTTTTAACATTTATTTATTTTTGAGAGACAGAGACAGAGCTTGAGTGGGGAAGGGGCAGAGAGAGAGGGAGGCACAGAATCTGAAACAGGCTCTAGGCTCTGAGCTGTCAGCACAGAGCCCGACGTGGGGCTCAAACTCATGAACTGTGAGATCATGACTTGAGTTGAAGTCGGACACTTAACCGACTGAGCCACCCAGGCACCCCTAGTTAGGTCATCTTTGATTTCATTCATAAACGTTTGGTAATTTTTACCATGTATATGTTATGTTAGAGTTATACTTAAGTATTTCATTTGAAAGTATCATAAATTGTATATTTTAGATTTACTTGGTAGAAGTCACTTGTGAAACTATCTGAGCCTAGAGATTTCTGTTCCAGAATATTTTTAACTACAAATTTCAATCCTATAATAGTTATAGGATTCTTCGGGTCTTCTGTTTCATCTTGGGTGAGTTTTGGCAGTTTGTTGTTTTTAAGAAGCTGATCTACTTCATCAGAGTCGTTGAGTTTATGCGTATAGTGTTCTCTGTAGTATTCCCTTACTGTCTTTTTAATGTCTGCAGGGTCGGTGCTGATGTCCCCTCTTTCATTCCTGATATCAGTCACTTATGTCATATTTTTTTTCTTTGTCAGTCTTGTGAGAGTTTCATCTATTTTATTGGTGATGAATTGGCTTTTACCAAGAATTGGCTTTTGATTTCATTGATTTTCCATTTTCAATTTCATTGATTTCTGTTCTTGGCTCTAGTATTTCTTTCTCTGTGATTTGAGTTTGTTTTGCTCTTCTTTTTCTAGTTTCTTAAGTTGGAAGCGAAGATGCTGATTTGGAATCTTTCTTTTCTAATATAAAGATTTAATGTCGTACATGTCTAAGCAGTGCTTTAGCTACGACCCATAATTGGTATGTTAGATTTTCATCTTCAAAATATTTTCAAATTTCCCTTGAGACTTCAGTTTTGACTCATGGATTATTTATTTATTTATTTCAATGTTTATTTTTGAGAGAGAGAGAGAGAGAGAGAGAGAGGGCATGAGCAGGGGAGTGGCAGAGAGAGAGGGAGACACAGAATCCAAAGCAGACTTCAGGCCCTGAGCTGTCAGCACAGAGCCCGACACGAGACTTGAACCCACCACTGCGAGATCATGACCTGAGCTAAAGTCAGACTCCTAACTGACTGAGCCACCCAGGCACCCTGACTCATGGATTATTTAATGAAAGTGTGTTAATTTTTAAATGTTTACTTATTTTTCTGTTACCTTATTGTTGTTGTTTTTTTGTTTTTAATTTAATTACATTATTGTTTAAGAATATACTTTCTTTGCGGTGCCTAGGTGACTTAGTCAGTTAAGCGTCTGACTCTTGGTTTCGGCTCAGGTC